CCATCATCACACATCCATCTCTTACCATCAAATGCGGACAGTGACACCTTCTCCCGCGTAACGTTGTGTATTTGATGGCCGTAGCTGCGCAGGCTGTTCATCTTATGCCGCTGCTCCTTGCGCGTACGTAGCACGTTTAAGTAAGACTCGTGGGTAATGTCCTTCTTAACCACGTACTTTTTTACGCCTTTGGCTTTCTTTTCCGCGCCGTCTAACTTCAGTACGCTGTACATCTTTGGCTTTAGGCCCACGTACTCCATTATGGGCCTGCCGGACATTTCGTCCTTCATCTTCCCTATTACCTTCTTATTCTTTGCGGAGTAAAGGAAGTGCTCGCGTGGGTATGCACTGGTGTCGTACTCATCGAGGTCCTCAAGGCAGTACTGGTAAACGTCCTCCGTCTGCACTTCGAGGATCAAAGAGTCGGTGTCCGTGTACAGAAGGTGGCAGCGGTCTCCGTACTTAGGCTTTAGCTTGTCGTAGTAGAACTCGTACATAAGCAGCTTCGATAGGTCCAGCACCGTAAAGCCTGTGTAGACGGGCTTGTTCAGGAAGAGGTTCGCCCTTTTCATGTGAATTACGTAGAAGTTCAGCATTTCTACGTAGCGCACGAACCCTGGCTGCGACACGTACGCCTCCGCTTCTTCGCGAGTTCCTGCAATCTTGATGCTAACACGCTTGCGGATGTTCTCCATCGTCTTACCAAAGACGGAGTTATTCATTAGTTTGAACAGATTCTTTTCCAAGTCGTTTTTCGCTGCTGTGCGCTTCTGAGTGTTGAAGTCGATGTAGGGCTGCATCCAGGGTTCCTGCGTGAACTTCAACACGCGCCGGATCCTTTTGACGCGTAAGCCGTGGCGCACATAGAACTGCAGGTTGGGGTAATGCACAACGTACTTCTTTTTGTCCATCAGGTTCATCGTTAGCTTTCTGTAGGGCTTGTAATTGGGACACATCTACTGCTGCAGCGGAGACAGCTGCGCAAATGGTATCTCCACGACCTCTGGTGCTAAGGGAAACTCGTTGTGGGCGTCATGCAGGTGCTCGGGGTATTCCAGATCCACTTCAAGGATAAATCCTTTGCGGCTGTCCGGCCTCACGCGCAGGTAGTAGTCTATCTCCCGTGGCTCTGCCCATTCAAAGTCCCTCACTGGTAAATGCTGCTACATTGCCCAGCCGTAGAGGTTGTTGGCGTCCAGGTAGAAGATGTAGGTGGTTGGCTTCTCGGGGTCGTGCTCTACCAGGGGGTTATTTGCTTTTGCGTGTCGCCTACTGGGTCCGCAAACGCCGCCGCGGATGCCGTCTTCCATAAACCGGTACATGTCGTACTCCGTTAGTAAATCCAGTTGCGCATTTGTCTTCTTCAGCAGGGCGCTCCAACT